TGACTGAGCTCTGGTGTGATAGATGTTGCATTATATAAATATATTTTCTAGTATCAAATTATCTTTGTTTTTCAAAGATATTCTTCATCATGATGAATTGTTTTATTAGTGTGATTCTCAATTCTGTCACAGTGGAAGCATATGAAATTGGGAAAATACTGATGGGGTTTGAATCCAAGTTGTGCTACTGAATAGCTCCCATGGTCTGTTGTTTTTGCACACAGTAGGTCCTCGATAAGTGAGAGTTGTTATCATCTAAGGACATGTGGTGGAGAATAATCTGCTGTATAAGAGCTTAGTAAGTTTGCTGAAAAGATTTAAAAAATGCTTTCTATAAATGTGCAGTGCAGTTTCTGTTACAGAGAGAACACTCAATAACAGTTAGCTTTTATTACATGTTTTAATGTTATTTAGAAGTCAAACTGATTTTAATGCATGAGTTCAGTCTATTTTCAATTTGTATGTTTGATAATCCTATGAGTTTAACTTGGTGTATAACTTTGACTGCTTCTGCAAATTTTAAGAATAGTGTTTTAATTTCCATTACTTTCTAAATTTGTCATTTTATGTTTTCTTTCTTGACTTGACTGTAATTTATCATTATGGTTTTAAAAATCTAAATAATGGTTTAAAATCTGTTTCAAACTAATTCAGGCATTGTTATCTGAGCATACAACTCATTGTATCTTTTTCCTTTGGAGGAATTATCTTTGCAGTCTAATGTATGATAATTTTTGTGAATGATTTATACATACTTGCATGAGATTTTATTTCCTGTTCAAGGTCATAGTGCCCCAGAGTCTGAGTTTCTAATTTACTCTTCGAAGGCATATTTTCCAATTCTTCATGTTCTTATTATTATCTACATTATTTTTATAGACGAAGTGCATTGTGCTGCAATTTCGATGCTCACATCAAGTTTCTGTTCACATTTCTTTATAATGTTAAAGTTTGTGCTTAATGCTTTATACTATTTGAACATTAGCTCCATGTCTTTTATAATTCAATTATAGATTCTACTTGTCTCCTATGGATATTTTCCCTCTTTCTCGAACATAACCCATTTTCATTGAATTCTCATAGGTACCAATGTTGACACTGATGTTGCCACCGCTAACGACTTTTCTCCATTGTGTTTTCTTGCTTTGTCTTTGCCCATCTTTTCTGTTATTGTTTTAGTATTAAGTTTTTACTGTTATTTGATTTTAGGCTTTTCTCCCCATGCAAAGAAATTACAGTGTTCGTGTTTAAAACCAATCAAGAGTTTTTTCTTTTATTAAATTATTACCTTTATTACCTTAATCACTTTGTGTTTGGTTCTCAAATTCATTGGTTATGCTTCACAGTTTGTATTACTCTTTATATTTGACACTTGGCACACTCCCTCCAACTTCCCAGTTGTCATTACAGATGACTTATTTTTTAAAGAAATTTAAAGTTTTCTTAATTTTTTAATGAAAAATTGCACACTGCTTTAAAAACAATTTTAAACTAATTTTAACTGGCTATTATTTGCTACCAGCTGTTACTGGGACTGCTGCTTTCAGTCAGCATAGTTAAGTGTGCTTAAGAAACAATACAAATAGATATGGATGTGAAGATATGCATGTGAATTTATGTTTATGTATAAGCAGATGAGAAGGTCTAAAAAGTTTTTGAATAGAAGTTGACTCCATACTATGGAAAGTAAAAATATATTAATTTTGGATGCTCTTGTAATAATAGTAAATTGAATGCAGTATGCTAAATTAGTGCCACATATTCTAAATCTCAACATCAAAAATTCTTTAGGAGTCATGTGGTCAATAAGATGGTAATCAATTTGAATTTAACAATTGTCATTTTAAGATAAAGCAGGGTGTTAATGCCATTTTCACCAGGGGCCACATTAACCTCTCTGTTGCCTTCAAAGGGCTGACTGTAATTTTAGGACTGTATAAATGTTACTACTCCTTAACTAGGGGCAAGGAGCTCGGCTCTGCTGCTGGGTAGAAACAAGGTACCAGACCAGATAAAACAAGGTGGAGGGCTGGATTTGGACCGAGGGCTTTGCATTTGCCACCTGTGAGATAAAGGATGATTATAAAGCAATGAGTTTGATATTTTTATCTATCTTGTAAGCTTGCTCTGAAGACAGTTCTCATCCTGGAATATAAAATCTTTTTGATGGAAGATAACATGGTCACCATCATTAGTCATCATAGCTTCTGATATGTTTTCCTAGACTTACACTAAAACTGCAGCAAGGCTCACTGTGAAGAAAATAACTGAAAATAAGTATGTGAGTGTCATACAGACTATCACATTCCTGCCCCCCTCCTGCCCCACCATCTGCTGCTGTAGGCATTTAATAGCCTCTCTTTGGTGATTCACTAACCAGTGATAAACTGGATCAAACTAAAACAATGAAACAATAAAGATTTTAGGCAACCTTCCTTCTATGTGCTCCAGGCCCTCTGCTTTGGAGTCTTGCCTGGCTAGTAAGGGATGCATTCCCAACCAAAGATAAGGAACTTTGGTGTTATATTGCCATCTACTGGTATATGTCAAAAACTGGTTTAGAGACTGGTGTCTGGGCTCTCTTCCATCACCCACAGCTGGGAAGAAGCAGGATATTAGAAATGAAAGAAAGATTTTGATGTCCTACCCCTTCAAAGACAAAGAAACAAATGTATAAATAAAGCAAAGTATTCTAATTCATAATATTAATTCTAATAGTGTGAAATTTATGCTTTTAGATCCATGTATTTACTCATCTTCTTACTCCAGAGTAAGTTTATGTATTTAATTGCTATATTTGTATAAGCAGCCTAATTTAAACCAAAAAGAGGTATTTATATTTAATTAACAGTATTGTTTGCAAATATCATTGTTGTAGTTCTTGTCCTCCCTGACCAGCTTACGTTGAATCAAGCACCACGCTAAGACGATTACTCAAGTGTTAATACTTGAACCCTTGGGATGAAGGGTTAGGATTTTGGATTTCTGTTTTCTCTAAGGATCCCTAAGTTCTGCTGTTTGCTCACCAATCTTCTCCATCAGTAACTTTCTAAGTTCTACATATCACTTTCCTTCACAGAATGTATTCAGCAGCAAGAGACCAAGCGCCAAAGTTTTTACAGCCAGAAGAAAATTCACTGTGCAGGAAGAGATTCACTGATGTGAGTATCTCATTATGAGTCTAAAAATGTAATTTTTTTCCAGCCAGATTCAGAAATCTTCCTGTAATAATCAGAGGATCATTCTAATGATATGGACTAGAGAAAGCTAAATTTCATCTGTACCACTTGGAGCGAAGTTTCTGATTTCCCTTTCAAGTAAGTTGAACCTGGGATTCTGGTCCAGGACCAAGATGGCTGATCATGATGAATCCCTGGGTCTCACTATGAAGTGCTGAATGAGGAAGACTATGAGCTAGGACCCTTGAAATTACTAAGTCGTGACCATCTAGCTACCCATTGGGCTCAGTGGGGGATGTGGAAAGAAAGCAGTCAGGTAGGAGGCTGTGGGACAGAAATCAGGTGTATGTGGAAACAATTCAAAGCAGGGGATAGCAGGAGAAAATGTCTCCATACAATCTTACGTGATTCTTCCCTTTAAACTTTTAAAACCTCCACTTACTAGTTATGTGATCTCGGGAGAGCTACTAAATGTCTCTGATACTTAGTTTCCTGACCTGTAAAATAGCAATAATGTAGTTGTGTCTATCACAGGCATGCTGGTGAAGAGGGCTATGTCTGGTTTCATGCATAAGAGTTCAGCACAGTGCCAGGGTGGCACCTGCTTATAACAGGAACAGTCATAATAACCCTCAAACCCACAGGGTTCTACACAAAGACAGAAATCCCGCCATGCTGGCCATGTGCCCAGAGAACTCCCAGGAAGACTTGACTTTCCCCGTGTAAGCCCTGGGAAAATGTAGTGCCCTCTCTACCTCACCTGAATTTCCCTTTCTCTCATGCATCCCAGTTTTTCACTGGGTCTGAAAGGACTTAGTCTGCTGCCCTGGCCCAGGATGTAGCCCCAGGGACTATGTGGATGCACAGATGCAGAGCAGCAGGAAAATCAGGTAAGATTTTCCTGAAATTCTGTGCAAATAAGGCAGGGGAGACCAGGAGCAAATTTGCTTTTCTGGGGGTGAAAATGGGGCAAAAACCTAGCCAGATGGCAGGGATATACAGCAGAGTTCTTCCCCCCTCTGGTGTCTGTGCCCTGGAAGCAGTCATCGTTCAGCTACCCTCAGAAACCCCTATGTCTTGGCTGTCCTGAGAAGACTAAACTGAAGGGGCTGCTACTTAACAGTGCTCCAGAATTGCCTGGGACTTCTCACCCTTTCGCTTTGTGGGGGGCGCATCAATATTTTGAAGCCTTCCAGGGTTAGGGGTGGTGAGCAGAGCACTCCAGAGGTAACAGGATGGTTCAGGGTGAACACAAGAGCTGAGACATTCCCATAGTTCTGCTGAAAGCAGCCAGAGTCTAACTTTAGGGCCAGAGAGCCTGGGCTACAGAGTACAAGCAGTAGGCTCCCTGGTTCAGTTCCAGAGACACCTACCTGCCTCTTCCATTTTAATTCTGTAGAGGCTCAGGCCACATTTACTCCCAAGCAAGATACAGGTCCCCTGATTGTCTCTTACCTCGTGTATTCCGTGTGCCTTCCTTGAGTTTTAAATTCCTGGAAGACAGAGGCCAGAACTACTTTGCAGGCGTATTTTAGAAAGAACATCTAATAGGTGCCCTGTAACTTTTACTGTGGGTGGTTATATAAACCAAGTTGAAATAAAAACTGCCATGCTGAGTTTGTTTAAAAAAATTTATTTTCCAAGGTAAAAGCTTAAATAAATTTAAAAATAACTTAATAAATAATTTAATTAACTTTCAAAAAGTCTAGCTGTCCTTTCAAAGGCACATGCCTTAGCTATCCGTCAGAGAGTGACTGGCTGAAGCGTGCCTGAGGTCGTGGTCAGCGTTGCTCCTTCCCAGAGGCACAGGCTGACAGACATTCAGTTTTTGAAGATAAGATCTATGAGTTTGTGAAGGACAGAAAAGTTCCTGAGGATGTGCCTTCGGACTTCTATCCAGGCACATCTGCTGTACAACTTGGTCTCCAGATACTCCCCAATTTGTGAGTAATAATCCTGCAGGAGCAGCAGAGTGGTGTTTTTCTCCCAGGTGAAGGTTTCCTCCTCCTCGATCTCCACCAGAGCTGCCTCCAGATGATCCACCTGCCAGCTGAGTTCCCCATAGAGTTTCCCAATGATGGTCTCATTCCAGCCGGTGCTAGAGAAATTTCTTGTGAAAAGATCAAAGATCTGCTGGAGCATCTCATGGATGACCAACATGGCTTCCTCCTTTTGGAACTTCTGAGGTTGAATCTCCTGGGGGAACTTGAAGTCTATCCTGTCCTGGAGGCAAGAGTGACTGGTTCCATTCAACTGCCGTATGAGAGTCCAACAGGCTGAAATACTGCCTCTCTGCTGGAACTGAAGCACGTCGTAGCTCATGGAAAGAGCTGTGGTGGAGAAACACAACAGGAGAGCCATCTGGACGATGCTCCCATTGGCCATGATGACGAGAGAAACGATGGTGCTTACTTCCACCTAGGCACTGAGGCAAAGGCTCTCAAAGGGCTCCCAGAGTGAATGAGTTTTCTCCATGAGTATGGGATATTTATATGGCCATCTAGGCTTTCTATCTCAGAGGAATTTCCCATTTTCAGTTCTCCTTTTCAGTTTTCTTTTGTCATGTATATTCTTCATATGTTTATTTTTCAATTAGTTGACATATAATATCATATTAGTTTGAGGCATACAACATAGTGATTAGGCATTTGTCTACCTTACAAACTGATCACCCCAAAAAAGTCTAGTACCCTTCTGGCACCACACATAGGCATTACAACATTACTGACTGTACTTCCTAGGCTGTACTTTACATCACCGTGACTGTTCTGTAACTGCCAATTCCTACTTCTTGATCCCTTCACGTTTTTCACCCAGACTCCCAATCCCCCTCCCATCTGGCAACCATCAATTTGGTGTCTGTATCTATGAATCTGTTTCTGTATTTTTTGCTCGTTGATTTTGTTTTTTAGATTGTACACAAGAGGGAAATCAGTGTGTATTTGTATTTCTCTGACTTATTTCACTTAGCATAACACCTTCTATCTGGGTCCACCCATAGTGTCACAAATGGCAGGATTTTTTTTCTTTTTATGGCTGAGTAATATTCCATTGCATAGGTATGTACCACCATTGTTTTATTCACTAGTTTATCAAGGGGTACTTGGGTTGCTTCCATATCTTGGCTGTTGTAAATAATGCTGCAATACACATAAGTGTACACATATCTTTTTGAATTAATGTTTTAGATTTTTTTTACATCAATACCCAGAATTGGAATTGCTGGGTCATATGGTAGTTGTCTTTTTAAATTTTCGAGGAAACTTTATACTGTTTTCTATAGTGGCTGCACCAATTTACAATCCTCCCAACAGTGCATAACAGTTCCCCTTCCTCCCAAACCTTACCAACGTTTGTTGTCTGCTGACTGATTGATGACCATTCTGATAGACATGAGGTGGTATCTCATGGTGGTTTTAATTTGCATTTCCCTAATGGTTAGTAACATTGAGCATCATTTCGTACTTTTGTTGGCCATCTGTAAATGGCCTATCTCAATATTTCTGAGGCCATTTTTGTTAAAATGTAGTAACAAATTTTCTTAAGACAGGTATAAGTTACAAATCTAATTATAAGTTTATATCATGCTTGTAAAAGCGGGGAGACATGATCTATTTTAAAGGACTTTACTACAAAAATAAAATTATAATAATAATAAAATAATGATTATCAGTTTCTAGAAAACCCTGCATTACCTTTCAATCTGAAACCTGACTGTATGCAAGGAACTGTAGCATTAGCTGCCACAGATTGTAGTCCTCGCTGTCATGGATCACGTGATTAAGCAGGGAAAAGAGTATCAAGCAAATGAGTACACAAAAATAAAAGGCAGCAGTGACAAGTGCTGCAGAGGAGAGATTTGTGGTTGTGAGGGTCCATAGTCTGGAAACATAATATAGTAGGAGAGGTCAGAGAATACTGCCTTGCATCAGTGACACTGGAACTGAATTTAGAAAAAAGGTAGCTGGGACTGCCTGTGCAAGAACTGTGGTCAGATAGCACAGGTATTGTGAAGCCATGTTAAGAAGTTGTTCTTTATCCTAAGAGCAGTAGAAGTCATAGAAGTGTTGGAAGTGTGGTTTGAATAACTTGATTTGTTATTTTGGCAGGGGTGGTGGTAGAATACCATCTGAACAGTAAGCAACAAGTAATGGGGGGATAAAGGCAGACAGAACAGTGAGGGGATTTATCAATATTGTAGACCAGGGAGCTAGTGGTGGAGGAGGATGAATTCATTGATGTGAAATCTCTCATTTCCTGGCAACACCAGAATCAAATGTTTGAAGAAATTCTCCATAATTTTATAGATAGCTGCATCAGTGTTATTGGTCATGATGATTTCAACACGTTTAATGCAAGAGGGACATTGCATTTATTGTACCAAATTGCAATAGAGGCAAATGTGGGCTTATAAATCTAGAGCAAACATGAGCTCCAGGTTTCACGTCATCAGCAGAAGTCCTATCTTCTGACCTTTGCAATATGCTCAACGTTATCTCCCAAGCAGCTCTCTATTCCCATTTCTTCTTCTCACTTGGCTCTGTGGAATCAGCTGTCCCAAGAAAAGACTATCTATTGGTAATGTCTGACATATTCCTAAAAAACAAAACTACTTCCAGGTGAATAGTGTTTATGTGATGCCTCCTAACTGGGGGTACAGAGGAAGCATTTCATCTTTCTAAACTGGGGAATGGGGAAGACCTAATCATCATTCACTCAAATGAGTGAAGAGTGTCGAGGGTTTAAAAGATTAGCACACAATCCTCATATACCAGGATGACATTCTGGGAAGATAGCAGTGGTAGCAGCACAGTTTTGAGTTACCCTGAGTCCCCACACAAAACGAGACATTGCAACTAAATAGAAACCAAAACCCCACTTTACAGAAAACCTCGAAATGCAAGCAGATGAGGACAAATCACCAACCACCATAAGACCTGTGCGATAGCACCGTCCATGTGGGAGAAAGCAGAGGAAAGCAATGGACCCACAAAGCCTCAAACAGCCAAGAGGTGTTTACTGGAAAGCCATCCAGGCCAACTGCAGAACAGCCCTGGACACTGGAAGGGCTTCTTCCCAGAGTAACTGCAGGTGAATGTGAGGGCCTCAGTAAGTTCTGAAAGGCACTGGAAGCGTCAAAGATATTAGTAATTTTCAAACCAACCGGGCAGAACTCTTTTTCAGAAAGGACCTTAGAGTGAGCAGAAACTGCTTTCTTTACTGCTGCATGGTATTCCATTGTGTAAACATAATCCTGCTTTTTTATCCCTTCATTTACTGAAGGGCACTTAGGCTATTGTAAATAACACTGCTATGAACATCAGTGTGTACATCTTTTTACATTGGTGTTTTGGGATTCTTAGGATTTATTCCCAGAAGTGGAAATTCTAGGTCAAAAGGGAGTGTCATTTTTAGTTTTCTGAGGATACTCCATAATGTTTTCCACCGTGGCTGCACCAGTCTGAGTTCCCACCTGCAGTGCAGTGGGGTTCCCTTTTCTCCACACCCTCACCAGCGCGTGTTGTTTGTTGACTTATTAATTCTGACATGTGTGAGGTGATATCTCTGTGGTTTTAATTTGCATCTCTCTGATGATTAGTGAGTATTTTGATACTTAAAAGGGAGAATTCCTCATTCACCCTTTTGAAAACAAAGTTCATATAATCTATATTGAAAATCATGCACAAACCTTAAACAGCTCAAAACAGTATTATAAAATAAAAACTTCTGCATACCTGCAAAGCCACAAACTAAGTGAAGACACAGCCACTACCAACAGAACAAAAACCTCTCTTGTCCCCTCCCAAACATTATCCCTCTCTCCTCCTCCATCAGTACCCTCCTCCCCGACATCAGCACAGCCTTTTAACACCCTCTATTCTGGCCTTTTCTGAACTTTGTATAAACACCTACTTGCACTCCATGGCCTGTCTGTGAGAGTCATCTATGTTGCTGTCTGTCAGTGCACTTCATTAAACTGCATTGGTGTTTCATGTCTGTGGGGACATGCCACCATGGTTTATCCTTTCCACTCCCCATGGATATGGGGTTTTTCTCCCCCTGATTTTCTCTTGTCATTATCATTAATTCTGCTGTGGAAACTGCTGGATATATCTTGGTGCCCAGTTACATATACTTCTGTTGGGTGTATGCTTAAAATGAAGTAACTATATTATAGAATATGCACTTGTGCAGCTTTAGTAGATAAGGCAAACATATTTCCCAAATGTGTGCACCAGTTTTCATTCTCACGATCAGTGTACATGAGCTAACGTTGTGTCACACTGTTGTCAACACTTGGTATTGCCGGGTTTTTCATTTCAGCCATTCCAGTGGTATATGCTGATACCTCCTTACAGTTTCAACTTGTATTCCCTGAATATTAATAAGGATTAACACACTTGCATATGCTTGTTGGCCATTTAGATATTTTAGCTGTGGGAAGCCTGTTCAAATTTCCTGTTGGCTATCTCTGATTTTTTAAAAATTTTACAGATAATTGTGTACATACAGAATATAAAAGAATCTATAGACACACTAATACAATTTAAAAATAAATTTATCAAGGTCACTGAATACAAGATCAATATTAAATATTAATCATGTCTTTTTCTACTAGTAACAAAAAATTGGAAAATGGCATTTAAAATGTGATACCACTGACAATCACAAAAAGTCTACTACCAAGAAACGGCCACAGCCAAGAGAAGTCTAAGAAGATATTACCGTCCAGTGTACTGTGGCATTCAGAATGAGACTCCAGAACAGAAAACAATGTTAGCTAAAAACTACTAAATATGAATACAGTATGGCCTTTAATGTGTTTTAAAGTAGGGTATACAGGTGAAGTTACTTTCATCTTTTCCTTGCCCTCTAAATACAAGTCTACAATTAAATATTTTATTTGAATAAGATGGCCAGAAACCAAAGAAAAAACATAACATGTGTTTTCCTTGAGTTGAGACTGATTTTTTTTTCACCTTGATCACCGAAAGGAATTAACTTCTCCCACGTGTTCTCATTGTAAGTGAACAAGGGCCATTTAGGCACGTGTACGCACCAATAAGAAGGGAAGCCACACTCTGCAACAGGAGGCTACCAAGGCCAGCCTTCTCCTGAGAAACACACATTTACGTACTGAATAAATGTTTATTTAGCTAATATTTATTAACATGTCATATAGAAAGAGGGTGAATCTGATACAGGTTAAGACTCTCTTAGATGGATGGGAGTGTCCTTCAGTTACTTCCTGAGCTTCTCTGAGATAAGATCAGGGTCCCCTTCAGGTATTCTCCAAACCAAAGCACCATTCCCTAATCAAAGCACCAACACCTGTACCAGACAATTCCAGCCCCTGGTGAGAACCAGAAGAACAAGAGATCTGC